ATTTTGTAGATCTCCAGTCATATGGTTGGTGTTGGCCTCCTCAGTTTGACCTAAAGTATTTGAGTTTTGAATTTTTGTCTCAGACATGGATATTTCAAAGCATAAGGAAAGTACTCGGAAAGGAAGATTAGAGGCAAAGTGGGAAAAATATAGCTAAAGGGAACACCAACAATGACGGTTGCGATTAGATTGTTAAGTACAATAACAAATCTAGCAATAAAGGCTATGATTGGAAGATTATTGCAACAATGAAGGCTGCACTGCAATACTATCCTAGAAAAACAATATTTATAGGACTATTTTAGAGAAAAATAATAAAGTTGTTTATGCCGCTAATTCAAGGCACCATTCCTTAACTTCTTGGTCCCAAGATCGAGCACCACATTATTTTGTTGCTCATCAAGTCAAGCGTCAAGAAATAAATAGCTCCATTATTGCAAACTCTACCTTCCAAAGGAAAATCAATGGGGCCGATACCAATTTTCCTCCATGAACTGGTTCAATGTCAGAATCTTTTGCACAGTGATGACTTCACCTAAATGGTTGAGGGTAGGAGTGAACATGGTTCCAAGCTAGGTTCCAAGTTCCAAAAATTGAGGAGTCGATTCCGATAGGTAGGTTTCAAGTTCCAGGTTTTGAAATCTAAAACCTAGAATCTGGAACCTGAGACTTGGAACAAGTCTGTGTTTGTCTTATTCTATATCTTCGCGCAATCCTGCTATATTACATGGCATTCGATGTTGAGCGTATAATATGAAATCACTAGTCTGAGCTTCCATTTCCGATAATATCAATGATTGAGACTTTCACTTTGTTAATATTTTATTATTTTCTTGTGTCTAAATATAAGTTGTGTTCAGTGGATTGTAACATCAAATGATAATCATTAGATGTGATGATTCACTGCAATCGTTCAATTAGGAATATCGGTGGAACCTGAGTAAACCATGGAACCTACAACAGAATAGGTTCTAGGTTCCTAGGTATGCATGGTAAGTTTCAAATTCCAAAAAATGAAGAATCTGTTTTGACGAGTAGATTTCAAGCGGAACCTATGAGGAACCCGAAACCACTCACCCCTAATTGAGGGCATTCAAAACTCATGTCTTCATGACTGTGCTATTTCATGATGGGATCAAAGCCTAAGGCGCTAAAGCTGGTGGTGTTTACGGTGCAAATGGATAGCAAAATTGAGACCGATAGGCGAAAAGGCCTCGACCTCTAGTGATGATGTTGCACAGGTATGTAAGATTCCAATTTCAAAGCAAATTAAGCCATCCTCCACGGTCAAGTTGATGGTATTGTCTAGGTGGCTCAAGGGAATGGCGAATCTAGTTTGATGGTCTAAGCTAAAGTGCTGACGATCAAAGTGACTCGGATCAATTTTGTCCATGGCGAGAGAGAGACAAGGCATAGACTATGAACACAGGAGGAGGGAAGAGCCAAGCGGGCAACGGTGGTGTGTGGCGAAGCGGAGATAGGGTTTGGGGGAAATGGAGCCTAGAGTATGTTGGGGGCTTGGGGATTTGCAATGGGGCTAATTTCGTATTCTCAACATAGGGGTAATGTTTGTGAGAAAGTATCCATTGGTTGCAAAGCGCAACATCAATCACTGGTGCAGCGCACGTTTTTTTATTCATACCTAATACCTAGTCGGCACGTTTTTTTATTCATACCTAATACCTAGTCAACATGTTTATGTTGAGGTGGAATAAAAAATAAAAAACAAGATATTTCTTTTCTTCTTCCTCCTCCATCACAGCGGAACACCCCATCTGGCCAACATCTCCTCCATTTCCAGCGAAGCTTGCAATCGGCTCCGTCATTGCTCCAAGTCAGCCTAAGCTACCTCTTCGTCATTGCTTGTAGTCGGCTCCGCTGTTACTCATCCAAATCTGGCCTCGGCCATGGCCACCAGATATGACTCGACGGTCATTCTCCAAGTTCTGTCGCGGCCATGGCTTCAAGGTCTATCTCGGCCATGACCACCAGATCTAACTCGGCGGTCATTCCCCAAGGTCTGTCGCGGCCATGGCTCCACAGTTCCAGATCTGGACGTGACCATGGCTCCATATTTGTCGTAGCCACGCTTCACCGAAGGGAACTCGCCAGAGGGAACTCGATGGAAAAGGACACCTGGGAGAGAGACTCCATGATCGTTCGAGTTCCCTCCGGCGATGTGGCACCAGTTCGAGTGCTGGGTACCAAGGCAAAGGGAGGTGCGGCAACAAAAGTGGAGGGAAAAAATTGGTGCTGGGCGCAGCAAACACCGCGCAGCGGTAAGCCACAAGGATGGAGATTGTGACGGCTTGCACGGTGGAGACGACCGCGCCGGATTCTCAAGTGGCTGGGCAAACGGTGATTGGATGAAAGAGTAGGCGGTGGCTCGATGGAGGAGCAGGCGGTGTTGTCCATGGTCGACAATCAGATCTGCAGAGGAAAGTGAGTTAGGGATGAAGAAAAAAAAATCATATTTTTACTTTTTTAATTCCGACTCATCTGACATGTGTCAATTTCCTATTGAGTATCGACAAAAAAAAATGTTGGCTTGGCGCTTTGCAATTACTAAATATTTTCTATAAGAGTTTATCTCAGTGGTCTTTGAGTGAAAAGTGAGGTTCTTTTTTTAATATTTTCCTAAAAGTTATCGATGCCGAGTTAATATAATGAATTAGTTTCACCATAGAAACTGTTTAACTGGTGCATAAGATGCTTTTTCGGCTCCTCCGATGGTGGCATGGGCATTCCAATTTTCCCAACCAAATACATATAATGTTCATCTCTTCTAACCAAACGCGAAATTAGTGTATAAAGACCATGAGAAATACAAACACATGAAAGTGCCAAATAATTTCACTATATAAAAGGGTAAATGCAATGAAAAATCTCAAACTTGTACCTGTGTAATAGATTTATCCTCCGTCAAAGTTCTATCAATGAAAATCATTAAAAATCATTCTACATGGACGCTAGAAAGCAAACAGTGTGGACATGATGACACCTACATGACTTAAGTGAAATAAAAACGATATTGTTTTGGATGAAAAATCATTTAACGGAATATTGACGGAGGATAAATGTATTACATAAGTACAAGTTTTGAGTTTTTTATATTACAAGAAAAATTTAGGGTAAATGTATCACAAGTGGCATAGTTTGAGATTTTTGGTGTCATATAAAAAGATTCAAGGTAAATATATCACAAGAGGCATAGTTTTGGGGTTTTTGTGACTTTTTCCTTATTTTACAGAGCAATGTTGTAGACTAATGAAGATATATATATATATATATGTATTAATTGACGTTTCATATTACAATTGCACATGTAATAAATTGACTATTTATAACTCTCCTTCATAGCCTTCCACTATATTTCTTTTTTCAATAGAGGGACATGTGTAACTTTTTTTTTTATAGATAGAGCCATTGGAGATCTTTGAATTTTTCCCATGCGTGCAGTCCTCTTCCAAGATTTTTTTTTTTGTTTTCAATGTCATCCCTAAATTATTTATTTTTTACATAACTGCGGTGGTCCTCCCATCAAAAACCTGAATGAAAATACTGACACGGCCATTAAATGCCACGTCAACTCATATTTGACAACCAAGTAGAGCTTATTTGGCTTAAATGTTAAACATGAATAACATTTAACTTCACTGGCCAAGAGAATTCTTCAAATAAAGGAGCTGTCGACCAATAAACGGCGGCGGTGGCACCTCCCATGGTGACTTGATCCTCATCTTGCCTCAAGTATCTCTCTCGCCGTTGCCGTATCCTCTTGAGCTCAGTAAAGGTCTTGCCATCCTCATTGGCCGGGCGCCACTGCCGCCGCCTCTTCAAGGCAAATCAAGCTGAAGATTCTCTCTTTTTTTTTTTCCAAATTTTTGTTTTCCTAAATCATCAACATTATATCTTTTAAAATTAAAATTTGTAATAGCCACATAAGAGCTACACGGCTATCGCGTAGGACTCACGTGGCTGTTGCAACTACCATGTTACCACTTTCCGTTGGTTGTTTTAAAGGAAGGACCAAAACTTAAAAGGGTTAATATCACGAAAATCCCCAAACCGGTACATATGTGATAAATTTACTCAAAACTGATTTTTTTATCACCAAAAACTCCAATCTGGTACAATTGTGACAAATTTACCTTCCGTAAAAATATTAGATTAATATCACGAAAAATCACAAATTGGTACACCTATGACAAATAAAGGGTAAAATCCCAAACTGGTACACTCGTCAACTGCCATGTGTCATCCAACTCAGAAATTTGACAGTAAAATTTAAAGGAAATTAATAATTGGTGAAATTGTCACAGTTGTATCAATTTGACGTTTTTCGTTATAAAAAAATTAATTCATGGTAAATTTATTACAAGTATACCAGTTTAGGGTTTTCATGGTATTAACCCAACTAAAAAAGCTTAAGTGTAATTTAGAGATGAATTGTACAAAAGTCTAGGGACATTAGGTGATCATTGTAGGGTTAAACAGCAAGCGGTCGTTTGGGGACGAAGCGATAGAAGTTTTGAAAATTCAACAAGAGGTTTTGTTTTTAGTATTTGAGGACTTCAGGACTAAACCTTGTTAATTTTTTTCAAATGAGCTCCAAGTCACGAGGTTGGCAAGTTTGCAACTGCGTCTCCTTCGCATGCCAGTAGAACGCAATCCTCCTCCACACGAGACGAGATCACGAGCTGGTCCGAGGTTCGCTCACAGTATAATCCATACCTATGATCAGGAGACCACTGAGACGCTGGTAGATTTGTAATTCAAGCGGCGCTAGGCGGGTTGCACGGTAATTACCGCCGTGTCTCATCGGCTGTACCTTGTCCTTAGCTCGCTCATTCGATTCCTCCTCGTGCTCCAACGCACTCGCACGTGCAAACCACGAATGGGGTCTTGTCCCCCGAGTTAACACAGCAACGAGAGCGGAGCGACCTGGATTTGACTCAACGATCCGGGAGCATCAACTCAGCTCTCTGTCTCTGTCTCTGTCTCTCTCTTCTGCGTTTTTTTTTTATTTAGGTCAAGTTGGCCATTTCTTTAGTGTAAAAACACGCTAACAACACTAATTGACTGGAAAAAGCAGTGAAAGGGGAGTAGATCTAGAGAGGCAAGAAGCCAAGAAAAGAAAAAAACACGAGGTGGGTGTTCGTGGGAATCGGTTCTTGTGGGGTGCCAAGCACAGAATCGGCTTTGGTTGCGGAAATTTCTGCGGGACTCCTCGAGAAGCCCAAGAAATGCCACGCCCTTATTTCTACAAGCTGGTGCTCTCCTCCACAATCCAAGACAAGAGGCTGGTGAGGATTCGTTGTGTTCCTTTCGACGATTCCCTTGCGCGATTCCTCAATTCGATTGCGTTCTGTCTGTGATTGTTGTTGGCCTTGCATTTTCAAGTGGTGTTTTTCGTTGGGTTTGTGTTTTTTTTTGTTGTTGGGTGGTGATTTTTGGTAAATTCGAAGCCGCGATGACCTAGATTTGATTCGTGGCCCGTCACAATTGAGACCCAGAAAATAGTTTTGGCCAGAAATCTTGGTGAAAGAGAAAAGAGATTGAGGTCTATGATGATTGCTCTGCTATTTGGAGGCAACGGGTATACTCAACTTAGGGTGGTCAAATGGTATTAGAACTTGATTTTCCGGAGGCATTTTCTGGTCGTCTGGCCCATAGACAATACAAATTGGTGAAGTTGTGTTATATCTTAATGTGTTACCCGCTTGTTTTGTCGTCAGGAGAAAATTTTGGCCGATTTGATAAAAGGGTTTCATGAAGTGAGAAAGAGTAAGACTTCCCTCTGTGCTACTAAGCAATCATAAGAAGTGGAGGAAGGTGAATTTTTTGTTTTTCACCTTAAGTACAAAGTTTCAGTCGAAACTATGAGTGAGGAGGACAAATTGCTTTGTATGAGCGGTTGCAAAAGTATCTGCTGCATGGAAGGCTTCAAGCTCAACTTTTAATTCACCATGCAGCATTTGCTTGACTCTTTTGCGTTGCAATCTGTGGGAAACTGGTATCTGCGTGTCTTCGTAGCTTCACCTGAACAAGATAGATGCCTTTGTATTCTTGATGGCGAATCCCATTAGCTTGATATGCATGCAAACACATGCGCATGGGCTCGCCCATGCACACAGTGAGTTTGTTATAATGCTTATGTTAGGTCCATGGAACTTAGTCATTTCTTGTAAAGGTTTGGCAACGTGACTTTCTAATAATTGATAAAGGATGTTAGGAGGATAAGATTTGTAATGTTGGTATCATGATGTGACGGACAAAGTGCAATTGTGTGACTCTTAAATAAGGCTTGATCTTGACATGAGAGTAAGCTCTTGAATTGGGGGCAAACTTGTACTGATCCACGCTTTCAGTATTTGTTGAATGAACTATTCACACTGCCATTTTGCACTGTTCTAATTTTCTGAACTTCATTGCGCTATATTGGACTATTTAAAAACAGTTCATTAGAAGTAATTTGAGAATTCGTCAGGATGCAATCAAAAAGCTGCTGGCTAAACTGTCTTCTTATTTCTTTTTCTGTAATGATTCGTATAATTTATGTGGCTATTGTGATGCTGTGGTATTGTCTTTCCAGAAGGCATGTTATTTTGAGCTTTGTCTTTACATCAACTGAAAGCAAATTGCTTGACTGCAGAGAATCCCAGAAAATTTTGTCAAGAAATTCAGAGATGAGCTTTCTTCTGTTGCGACTTTGAACGTTCCTGATGGTCATGTCTGGCACGTTGGAATCAGAAAAAGTGAAAGCAAGTTATGGTTTCATGAAGGTTGGCAAGAGTTTGTGGATCACTACTCCATTGGTATTGGATACTTTTTGGTCTTCAGATACGAGGGCGGCACAACCTTTCAAGTGTTTATTTACAATTTAACAACATCTGAGATTAATTATCATTCCAATGGCCGCGTTCCTTCCGAAATGCCTCATCACAGCAGGCAGTACCATGTTTTCAAAGATATGGAAGATGATGATGCTGTCGACATATCCAGTTCCTCAACATATTACGCTTCTGGTGATTCTTTGAAAAGGAAGGCTGCCAATAGTACTGTGGATCAACTGACTTTAAGCAGGGGTTATAACCCAATGCACTTGCAGAATTTGTTCAACGGGACCGTGCATCAGCAAAAAGGTGCTGTCAACTCACATGCAGGCATGCGGCCTATTGAAGATATTGTCATTCAAGCTGGTGGGATCAAGTTCAAAACTGAAGATGAAGTGAAAGTGCAGAGCACAGATCAATCAACGCGGAAAGTCAAGAAAAGCTCTAAGAAAAAGCGGAAGAATGATCCTAGTAAGCTCTCTGAACTCAAGTTTCTTAATTACTAATGGCCTTTGATTGCAAAGAGGGTTTTCTCATTCATAGCTTCTACCTTTAGATGAGCCAATGCCATCTGCTCTACAAGAAGAGGATGGTGAAATGCGGTTTCGGTTTTATGCCAGTGCTTCCACGAGGAAGCGACTTGTAACGGCTGAAGAGAGGGAAAAGGCCATTAATGCAGCTAAAATGTTTGAGCCTCCTAATCCTTTCTGCAGAGTAGTCTTGCGTCCATCCTACCTATATCGCGGTTGTATCATGGTAATTGTAAATCTTTTAATGCATTTCTGATCTCTTTGTGCGCTGCTTAATGAGGATTCCTTTCGCCTGTGCAGTATCTGCCATCCTGCTTTGCTGAAAAGCATCTCAATGGGGTCTCGGGATTTATTAAGCTCCAGAGTACTGATGGCAAACAGTGGCCTGTTCGATGCCTTTATAGAGGTGGTAGAGCCAAACTAAGCCAGGGGTGGTATGACTTTTCTTTGGAGAACAATTTGGAGGAAGGCGATGTTTGTGTTTTCGAGCTGATGAGGGCTAGAGAGGTGCTGTTACAGGTCACTGTCTTCCGTGTCGTAGAAGAAGGTGGTCTGTTGAGCCATCATGGACGGTAACATCCAGGGGGTCTAATCTAACTAGAATCGAAAATGTTGTACTTTCCAGATGGTAGTTTCTTTCGGTTAACTGTTTTGTCTCGGTCAGTGATATGGTTTTTCTTATTTTCCCTTGTGTGGAGGTGGGTTGCAATTTAGTGTCCATATGCTCTTCGGTACAACTTAGTGGAACCTTTTGTTAGAAGCTTCAAGTCACATTCTCTCTCCCCGTGTTTTGGTAATTTCCCTCTTTCTTCGGTCACCATCGTGTCACGGCTAGGGCTGTAAATATTGTTAATTTAAGTTGGTAATGAAGTGGGCCGAGCTTCTGTCCTTGTTCATTATTCTGTAATTGGCCAGCTTGAACTCAAAGTACAGTTTCTTTTTTCCTTTGGCCAGCTTGAAGTTGATGTTTATATCTGCTTGAAGTCGCAAAGTCGGAGCCTAGTATGATCTAGGACAATATCGTGCGAAGACCTTTAGTTTCTGCCCCCACGAATCCTGGCCCCACTGGTCTCTTCCTATGTAGAAGCTGTGTGATATTCGGACATGAGATGGTGTCTGAGATTATCAGCTCCGCTAACACCGCCTCTCTCTGCCTTTCTGTTCTTTTTCTTGGCAGCAATAACCTTAACATTTTTCTTTCTTGTGATGAAGGTTATTCATGGTGTCTCTAGTGTAGAAGCACTTGGATTTCGTTCCAGGTCTTAAATGCATATTTTTTTATGAGCAATTTCAGATTATATTCATGATCATTAACCAATGCAAACGAGTTGATTAGGGTCACAACTTGGTCTTAAATTTATATTTTATGGTAACATGTGAGATGAGACTTTCGGTTTTGTGCTGTAGCTAGCTGGTTTTGTTTACACGTTCCTTGTGGTACTAGTTGATCTCCTATGATTAGGTTTTGCTCCCGAAACTATGGCCAGGTGAAGATAAAGAAAAGTGGATTCAGACATTTGAACAAGAGTTTTGCATACAAACATGAGCGCGCTTCGGTGAATGGATTGAATCAAGCGTCGTGGTTTGATGATTGGCTTACTTTCAGTTATCCTTGCTCTCGATTGTTTCCATGTTACCCTGTTTGTTTAGTTTTTGCTGGTAAGAATCGGGAGAAGTACAATTATGCTCCAGGATCCCTGGATCATGTGTTATGTCAGCCTGTCGATCATGTGGGTGCCATATGTGTGGCTCATGTGACCTCGTGTGATCAACTGTTGTGATCTATACAGAGATGGACCCGTATCTAGATAACTATATTTGTAAAGTCTGAACTTTGGGATTGCGTGAAAAAGGTGGCGTGATAATTTTTGTGGATTTGTCATTGGAGAAGATTTGCATGACAATTTTTCTGTACTTGGCATAGCCATTCAAGAATAAGGTCTGGATAAATGATGTTTAAATTTATGGAAAATTATATCAAGCATGTGTAAACTACAGGTTGTATACTCTTTAACATTAGTAGCAACATCATAACATCTAAGATGATGCTTGTGATCAATATAACACAACACGATTAGGACACTGGTATGCAAAGAGACTTACGGTAAATCGTAGAAATATAACGGAGAGAGAGAAAAATTTATAAAAAAAAAGCCATAAAGAACAAAAAAGGCAGACTTCTTTCATTGCTCTATATTTTCTTTTATTAGCTAATCTTTATTTTAAGGGTTAATATCACGAAAAATTTCAAACTGGTACATCTATGATAAATTTATTCTAAATTAATTTTTTAACCACCAAAAACTCCAAACTGGTATACCCACGACAAATTTACCATCCATCAGTTTCCGTTAAATTTTACCATCAAATTGCTAAGTTGGATGACACGTAGCCGTTGATAGGTTTATCAATTTAAGGTTTTACTCCTCTATTTGTCACATATTTACTAATTTTTTTTATTTTTCGTGGTGTTAATCCAATTTAACGGAGAGTAAGTTTGTCCCAAGTGTACCAATTTGGGGATTTTGGTAGTCAAAAAATTAATTTGAGGTAAATTTGTCATAAATGTATTAGCTTTGGGTTTTTCGTGATATTAATCTTTATTTTAAATATATTTAGTATTCACAACATTGAAAACAGGGAAGAAGAGACGTTAGGTAAGAAAAGTTCTATATCATCCAACACGTAGACCATCTTAACCTTTAAATTAATGTGCACTCAAATGTCGAAAAAACCACTCAAGAGTTCTTCCATTCCATGAAAACATGTCAAAGGCATGGTTATTAGTGTAAAGGATTTTTATCAGGTCTAATGCCGGTATAAAAGATAAATTACACATCATGGTCGACGTATATACCAATTCGGTAAGTATTTTTCTATACCGTTTTGTAGTAGACCTAACAATATCCTTAATTAAAACCTTATTTTACTTTGGATGAAATCAATACAGCCAGGGACTTAAGACGATCTCTCGAACAGAAAGTTTGCAAATGAGACTTGAACGGAGTGATAAATCTATGCGAACCCAATCACAAGGATTTGCAAACGCATAGGAATTGGAATTATATGGAATTGAAGTACATCGAGATGAAAGATAGAATTCCACTCCAGTGAATGTAGTGATCCGCGCGGGTGTGTTTGCTCGATGTCTCGAGCTCTCTTTTGTGATCTTGCTTGATGTGCTAGGTTACTGGTGCTAAACTCCGTGAACGCACTTGCTTTGGTAACCACTTGGTTTTTAACCACCGATCACTTTCTCCATGTTTTGCTCACTTCCACCCCCTTCAAGTTTCCATGCTCTCCACATGTATAATCCAGGAAAATTTCAAAGTGAGCACTCGCAGTTTGTGATCTTCACTTGGTGGAGTAAATTACCTAATAAAACACTTTGAGAAATACTTGGAACAAATTAGACCCAGAATATTCGGGGATAATTATCCAAATAGTCATAAACCTATTTTACGGATGTTAATTTAATCCTAAACTTTTCAATTGTAATCCTAAATATTTGCACGATATTTCAATGTAGTCTTATTAGCCAATTGTAGCTAAAAATTGCTGACATGGCGTCTAGCCATTGTCAGACAGTCATTCTACGTGGTATGCCGATGTTGACAATTTGTGAATTGTCACGTCAGTAATTTCTGATAGCAATTGGTCGGAAGGACTAATTTAGAATTAAATAAACAACTATAATCAGAAATAATCATGCAAATAATCAGGAATGATAAAAGGACACTCAAGATTTACATGGTTCAATTCGAGTTTCGATATGTTCATCTACAGTCTTGCAGCAAATAATCCACTATAATCAGAAAATCAAAATGTACAATCGCTCACATACTCAAATGTTAAACTCAAAGTATTTATAAATAAAAACTCAAATGGAAGTAAAAAAACTCACAGCACAACATCCATGTGTCTAGAGCTTCCTCATCATGCACCCACACGAAACGCTCCTTGTGTGGCTACAGGAACAAAGCTTGACAATGACCCTTTTACCCCTACAATAAAAAATATAATAATATAATAGCGAGTAATTTTTGTCTTTTAATAGCATCTTTTCTCTTGTTCATTAACCTACGGCAAAGGTGAGTCCAACTCTTGAAATTCACTTCACGATCAAAGTCGGATATTTATTCAACCGGGTCGGGTTTCCTAAACGACTCAAACTCGAAACATAATATAACAATTCTCTTCATTGGCTCGATGTTTGAAGCCAAATCATAATTCTCCTCATTGGCTCGATGTTTGAAGCCAAATCATAATGCTCATCATCCATGATGCACTCTCAATGCCCTGATGGGTTTTTGACTCTCTATAGATGCCAATTGTGCTCAAGCAAAACTTGAACTTCACCAAAGGAAACATGCTTAGTCATCATGTACGCCAGATTCTCTGTTGTCGCCATCTTTTTCACAGCAACCTTACCCTTCGCTAGACATCTCCGATGAAGTGGTACTTGATGTCGATATACTTCATTCACTCGTGATAACCCAGATCCTATGCTAGACATATCGCATCTTAGTTATCACAGTATATCGCAGCTTGATTATCATAGTGTATATCAATACTTTTTTATTCTAACCCAAAATCCGAGAGTAAACCTCGTAGCCATATCGGCTCTTTCACTATAAAGGTCATTTCCATGTACTTTACCTTAGTTAAAGACAAGGCAGCGTGATCCTATAAGGACACCTTCCAACTCACTGCACCACCTGCTAGCATAAACATATACCCTACTAAAGACATGCACTCATCCAAGTCACCAGAGTGATTTGAATCCATGTAATCAATGTACTCACTATCATTACTGTCCCTCCGGTACTCTATACCAATGTTTGTTGTCCCTTTCAAATATCTAATGATCTACTTCACAGCTTTCTAATGAGTTTTACCATAAAGCTTTATGTAACGGCTAACTATACTCACAACTTGTGAAATGTCGGGCCTAGAGCGTACCATATCATACATGATACTACTTATTGCACTAGAATAAGGAACATGGGATCATGCTCCTCTTCTTTCTCAGTTTACAGTGATAGCTTATCAAAAAGTTTAAAGTGTTTCGCTAATGGTGTACTCACTAATTTCACTAATTGCATAGTAAAACATGCATGAATCTTTTCAATATATTTCTTTTGAAACAGACATGAAACTCCTCCAGTCCTGTCACGCAAAATCTCCATACCCAATATTTTCTTTGCAACACCTAAATGCTTCATCTCAAACCTAGCACTCAACTGCATCTTCAACATATCAATATCATACATATCCTTAGTTTCTGTCAACATGCCATCGATATAAAATAATAGATATATCAAAGACCCATCCTCTAACCTCCTAAAGTAAACACAACTATCCATTTGACATTTCAAATCGTCCTCATTAGCCATGAAAGCATCAAAACACTTATACCACTGCCTAGGAGATTGTTCCAGCCCACATAAAGATTTCTTTAAGGAGCAAACATCATCTTCCTTACTCGGAATAGCAAATCCCTCTAACTAACTCATGTAAATCCTCTCCTCAAACTCACTATGAAGAAACACCGTTTTCACATCTAGCTGGTCTAGCTCGAGATCCTGTGTAGCAACTGAAGTAAGTAATATACGAATAGAAGTATGTCTTATCACAAGAGAGAACACCTCGTTATAGTCAATGACCTCCTGCTGTGTATACCCCTTCGCCACAAGTCTCCCATTATATCTCGTTGCCTCGACACCGATAATACCCTCCTTTCATTTTTAGACCCATTTGCTTTCAACAATCTTCCAGCTCTTTAGTACTTTGACCAACTCCCATGTCCGATTTAGATGGAGTAATTCAATCTCTTCACTCATAGCCCCTAGCCACTGCGATGACTCACTACTAGCCATCACCTGAAAGTAAGACGAAG